AATTTGCTTCGACATTCCAATCTTTATTTCGCTCTTTTATCCAAATGGGCAACCAAAAGAGAGCAATTAAAACCGGCGTACGCAAGTGCATTGTTAATGGTCGTAAAAACTGAAACTGAGTGGCCGTAGTAAGTGGCGGGCCACACTCGCCACGTCACAGCAGCGCTGTCTACAGATGTGTGGTGTTTTGTGAGGAAAACCATTATCAGGAGCTAAACCCACCACATCCTCGAGCAATGCTGCTGATCGTCCTCAGCCGCTTATTCGGGCGCCTAAGCCCATTGTATTAACGGTCAGCCGCGAGATCACGNCAATGCAAGGTAAACAATAGAAACGTAATAGGTAACCGACGATTTATAACCGATGATGAACCAAATAAAGCTAGACTATAGAAAGGTTGCCCACCGCTAACTTAGATGATCATTTAAGGGATGTAGAACTTGGGGCATGCCAATAAAATGAGTTGAATGGGACTGATCCCCGCTACAGATGTTGGCTACTTAAGGTCTATCTTCATAACGCAGTTTACGTTTGGTTACGCTCTTCATCTACTACAACCATCGTTATTTTATTCAATAAGGCGCGCTTTATTATTTTTTGTACGATGATGATAATGATATCTCTGTTACTGTACATTCAGATGTACACGATAGATTCAGAGATTAGGTGTTTTTAACTCCGTGTGGTGATAATCCGGTCGTGTTTTTGTTTTGCAGTTCTGAAGACCTACAGAAAAATCTTCAAGGCACCGTACCTAGAAGGCGACGTCAAAAGGTAGGTTCTGACTTGGACGACATCGGTGATTCTATCCTGCAATCGGTAGTTTACTCAACTGTTTTCGGATATGAATTTTAAGGAGTCGTGAAATAACTTTATTCCGGTTTTTAATACAATAATCTTCCCCTGAAACGTGCTTCCGAAGAGCGGTCTCCCTCACGGTGACGTAATGTCTCAATTCCGTCTGATTTTACCACAAACGTTCCAATAGCTAACATCCCGTTCAAGCGACCATCGGGTCGGACACTTACACATTGACAGGAAATGTCAATTAGTCTTGTCTGGGGTAGGGGGAGCCATTAGATTCTCGTATTCCACCGGGCACCAAATGTTGCACTTCAGTAAGCAGGTTTGACGATTGCAGGCGATATACATATGCTTCTGGAATGCCCGTAAATATTCCTGCAATTCCATTTATCTTAAACACCAATCTTTCCTTCACTCGTCACATTTTAACCCCGTCGTTCTCCGTTTCACAGATTCATGCAACCTATTGGAACTATCCTTCTCTTTTCTGGTCGCCATATATTTATCTGTTTGCCTCTCGCGCTGCGCAAAATCGACTTACTCTTCTGCACCAGGCGTTTCTACATTCTCGTTCACTTTATCTCACTTGTTAAATCTCAGAGCCACCCGGTACTTGATTACTGCAGTCGTGTGTGGTTGAAGCTCCATTCACCCAAAACAAAAAAGAATGTGAATATCCTTTTGCTTCTCTTTATTTATTGAGAATACAAATGTACGGTCAACTTCCAGGAACGGGGCCGCGGCCATACAAAGGCTGCTTGGGAAGATACAGAAATAGGAAAACGGGCAGCGGTGAAGCGGTTTGAACCCGGGTTCCCGGATCACCAATTGGTAACCTAACCAGTTTCAGTTTTCAGTTTGAACAACCATTAACCATACACTTTCGTGCGCCGGTTTTGGTTGCTGTCTTTTGGCTGCCCATTGAGATGAAGAATAGGAGAAGAGAGGAAAGTTGAAAGTGGAGTGCGCCGGTTTTGGTTGCTGTCTTTTGGCTGCCCATCTGGATGAAGAATAGGAGAAGAAAAGAAAGTTGAAAGTGGAGTCGAAAAGAAAATGAAGAAGTCCAGTGGTGCCCGTCTCTCAACGCACATACAACGCCGCCGACTGCAATGGCTGGAGCGTGTTCTCCGCAGACCNCAGTCCGACTATACGGCTGCGAAACCTGGCCGCTGAGAGCTGAGGACATCGGACGATTGGAGGTCTTCGATCACTGGTGTCTTCGATTCATCCTGAATATACACTGGTGGGTAGGGGTCTCAAACTCGGACCTCAGAACTCAATGCGACGTTACTCGTCCCTCAACGCACATATAACACCGCCGACTGCAATGACTGAGCTATGTTCTCCGCAGACCCGATGACACTTTTACGAGTATTGTCTTGTCTCCGACACCATGTCCTGGCTGGCGCCATCGATAAGGGGGAGCAAGTAAAAACCTGGCTGGACACTGTATTCGAAGACGTCGACCAACTTGGTCTTCGGATGGTGTACGGCACTCGCTGATGGAAAACAAACTGGACTAACATTTGCAAGGATCTTGCAGCCAACCGCCAAGCACGGATAGCGATCATCAGAGACATTCATGGAGCCGGCTTATCCTTTATAAGGAGACAGCCGTAGTAAAGAAAAAAAGTATGCTGATGGAAAAAGGTCCAGAGCTGTTAAAATAAAACCTGGAATGAGTGTATGAAAATCTTAACCAGCAAACTCGGTCATATTGGTCACGATTCATTGTCCGCACAATTTTCTAAAAGGGATCTCGAAAGGAACAAACCACTAACCACCGGCTTGGCTAGAACAATTCTTCCGTCTTACCGGTTGTAATTGGATTTGCGGAAGTTAAATTAAGGAGACTAATCTAGACTGAGGACCGCGCTTGTAATCCTACTCCCGCAAACCTCCGTCATTATGGTTCAAACACGTCGGAGTCCCCCAAATAAGTCACGGTACAATACTCTTTGTGACGAAGGAAAAGTCCCGCTCGTGGGCGGAACATTGCCAGTTGAATATGCGAAAACAGATCAATTTTCCTGGGTAGTTCACAACCGGAGCATTTGACGAGCCAAAGCCTGAGAAGCAAGGTAGCTGGGTGGTGCGCGAAAACCACAATCCATTGGGGGCCAGTGTCCAGTTTATCGGACCGTACACCCATTGGATGGGGTCAAACATCCAAGGTGCTCAGTATGCCTCAATGCCCAATCAAGCCGGTGACAACTACTACGACCAGGAAGGTGTGTGTATGTGTGGTTCGCACGCCTGCTCTTGGTTGGTTTGGAATCAGGGTTTTTGACCAACTGCCCTAGGTGAACTTTCAGTGGTCTACCAACCCAGTTATAACCCCGGATGTCGGCTTTTCGTCCTCTCACTTTGGTGAGAAAAAACTCCACTAGGTGAAAGCATTGAGTAGAGCTTCCTCAGCAGAAGCTATTTTGGACACCTGATCTTGTAGGAGCATTTTGTGGGTTCCAAAGAAACGCCGAAAAACAGTACACCCACCTGAGGCTGTTGTAGATCTGGATCATTGTGGTCCGTGAGGCTATATCTGTGCTCATCTCGGAGAACTTCGCTTCACTGTATTCCGTGTTCGATGGGACCATTATTGTTGATATCAGTAAGGCTATTTTGCTGTGTCAGGGTGTGCTCAGGACAGTCAGACTTTTCCAATATGTTGTGTCAGTTCTTAATCTCTCATCATTTTCTTTCGCATTCAGATTGTCTCATTCAGTTCGTCCAGTTGGACCCTACCGGAGCCGGTATTACGGGTCGGTGATCGCACTATTTACACACACGGGCGACCCCCGTGGTATGATACTGAAGGTCAAGCACAGGAACCATTTGTGATTGGAATTTGTGGGGGTAGTGGAAGTGGGAAAACGACAGTTGCTCGTGCGATCATCGAATCTTTGGACGTGCAATGGGTCAGTCTGCTCAGTATGGATTCCTACTACAAGGTGAGTCTAATCGGTTTCATACAGACAGTGTGTTCAACACTGATTCGGCAGTTTTTTCTTCGTGTTATTTCGAAAGTCATTGTAGAAAGACGTCAATTAAATAAGGTTTATTTTTTGTAGTGGTGATGGTGGTCAAGCGGTTCCGGTTGCTGTTGCCAGTGTGCTTTGGTCTGCCGAGTCTTAGACAGCTTCTTTGCCGTCCGACTCTGCATAACGCTAGCCTACACTCATTCCTGATAGATCAGGTAACCAGCAACCGTGCACCATCCTCCGTGTTCCGTGAAAATTCTAAACTTGATGAAATCGTCTGCGTGAGCTCCCTTTACCACTCACTGACACACTTTACTTGATAAAGTATCATAGACTCGGTGCATGTGGCTCACTCCGTTCACTGAATGACAGCCATGCATCGATGTCTCCGGTGGGTGCTTTAAAAATGTGTCACACCTCTAAGGCACATTTTCCAGGATAAAATGGATTTTGCTTAGTCGGAGTAGGAGAGACCAATACAGTAATGAAACCGGACAAAAACAAACCAAGTTCAAGATCCTGTTCTCATTAGTAGTGTTTGTGTACAGTTGCGGACCGACCGACGAGAGTGCGTCACATACAGTTGTTGCTCTATACGTGACAACGGCGATCGTTTCAAACAAGAAAAAATCGAGTTACATTCCAACCGGTCACCACTATCCTTATCAGTGAATTCTCAGTTTTTTTTTTCGGAGGTCAGCTGATCGGGCTATATCAAATCGGCGCTGCTCACGCTCAGCGATTCCTTGTTTTGCGATTTCCATTTCCAGTGTTAGGATAGAATAACCAACTGACAGTTCCACTTGTGGGTTCAAATATCATTAAGAATCCCGTGTCCCACACCTTGAATACTCTTCCTCCATAAGTGTTAAGAATACTTGGTAAGTGTGAGTGTGAAATTTTCTTGAAGTAGGTGAACTGGGAACAATTGAAAACAAATTTTCCTCTCACTCCCCTTTGAGGGTTAGGGGAGGGTATAATTAGTCCAGTGATTGTTTACCTGAAAACAGCCAAACGGTAGATCGATCGGACCAACGTGGACGGTGACATTTTCTGTCCTTGCCTAAAACATACGAAATTTTCGGCACGGTACTCGTCGCCAGAGTGGTTGACTTTCATCCCACCTGATCCGCATAGCCTGTTTGCTTTCCCTCGTCGTTGTTTTTGTGCTTTTCAGCAATTAGAAAATTTCGTAACACTGCTTCGTACTGTATGCTGGGCTCACTATGAGGATACCTTATAACTGCTCGTCGCATGTCTATTCCCGTATCTTGTGATGCCAGCGTACCTTGTTCACCTGCTGTTATTACCATCATCAGACCACTGCCCCTCTATCAGGTGTGAACGATAACAAAGAGCACTGTTTCGTCCCTGTTGGGACTCATTGGCAGTTTGTATCATTGATGTGTCCCGTGCATGACTCGAGCCGTTAATCTTTGGGTTGGCAATCAAAACCGTTGCCCCCGAGCAATAGCCAAAACAGCAGTGAATAGATTTCTGTCTGTGAATTAGCATAGTATTACCAGAACCATATTTCTTCTTGTTTCGCCTCTCTCTCTCTCTGTTTCCAATTTAGGCTCTTACGCCAGAAGAACGAGCCAATGTGGAAGATTACAACTTTGATCATCCAAATGCTTCGGACATTGATCTACTGTATCATCATCTGTTGCGGTTACGCAGTGGGAAGAGTATAGAAGTGCCCGAGTACGACTTTGTGACACATTCACGTACCTCGAAGACGGTAAGTAGAGGATGGTTACGCGTAGGTTAATATTTGCTGCGCGCTACTCCATGTACTCCGTATTTTGGTTTGAAGATCTTATTAAATAAGATCATTGCATCGCATATAATAATAATAAATACATACCTATAATCTGAGAATCAAACTCAACTAGGCAATAAAATTTCCGTACTTGTTTGTCTGCCAAATTTTTTTTACTCCGAGATGCGCTTAGGTTTCGTTGCATCAAATAAAAATTCTTTGTTTCCCGTATTTTTTTAATTACGCATTGTGTGATGAACAGCAGTCGGAGTGGACCCCATAGTCACGAAGACCTACTGTTCAGTGATGGTAGTCGGCAACCCAAGCCCCGGGGCTTGGAGTGGCGAATCACATAAGACCCCGCTAGCTCAGGCGTGGTATAGAACCGGGAGGCAGCAAAGCTGCCTACCACCAAAGTTGGGTGGCGGTGGCCGTGGTGGGGCTCGAACCACAAGGTCCAAAGCACGCTGGTGACAGCGACTAAACCACTGCGCCACCACCATGGAAAAGACTGTCTNATGTTTTGTCCCCACTGTTTGTAGTCCCTAATAGTCCATCCAACTATCTTTGGAGCCAATCTGGGAGACTGTAAGCAACAGCCGAAGCCAATACGGAGTCTATCTTTCTCTCAAAATGACTTGCTTGACCTGGGTGTCTGAATAAGTTAATTTCCACATTGGTTTCGATTAGTGCTTTCCGGTTTTGATGATCGGAATCGTCGTTCGATAAGGGCACTGAGATATGTCCTGTAACAATAATCATTGGCGCAAATTTTCTGCGATTTCCGTTCACTCTCTGTGCCCCCACAAAAATAAAAACAAAACTATCAACATGTGTTTGGGGAAGTACAGGAAACACTGTCGTTCTTTTCAGGCCGTTCTCCCTTATCAACTGCCGTTTGTAGCGAGCATCTCTCTTCATTTTTCGATGTTCCGTTGGTACTATGTTTGTTCTGAAGGTGGTGTAATTATGTCATTATGTATTATTGTATTGTGTGTGTATATCTTCTTAGATTTTGTAGTTGATCTGTTCGTGTCGGGACACGACGCTATATGTGTTCGTCCTTGCAATGTCTGCGGTTGTGATTAATCTGTTTTCCTCTCATTTTCGGCTTGTTTTTGTTTCAGAAAACACTCTACGGTGCGAATGTAATCATTGTTGAAGGTATCTTGGCCTTCTACTCTCCTCTAGTCACCAAGGTTAGCGCAATTGTTTGTGAGCTGTTGTCCAGGTGTTTTCAATTCTCTTGCATTGTTGATACATCGTGCTAAACTCAAGTCCCCCACTATTGGTGTTCTGTGGCAATCATTTTTGTCCCGAAAATGTGCGCAGCTGACACTCAAGTCTCCAGATTCTTACCGAACGGTATTGGGTTCTCTGAGGTCTTTCGACGAACCGAATTTATTGCACTTTTAATCGTGATTTTTTCTTTGGTTCATTACTCTTATCTGCTTGTGATATTTTCCTCGTACGTGAGTGCTCAAACGGGCTGAAGTGTAACTGTACAATTCATAATGTACAATCAAGAGGTAAACCCCACAGTCGTACAGCCTCTTATCGAATGAAGATGGGGAAAAATTCATCTAAACACCACTCCTTGATTCTAGGGTTAGTAACATAAAGATCATAATTGACAGGAAAAAACGAAGTGTTTTTTATGCAGAATGAACGTTCGCAATCGGAATCCTGCAGGCAAATGAAATTCGAAAAGAAAAATCCGTGATAATAACAGTTTGAAGGTCAAATGCTCGTTTGACAGATTGAAGTTTAATGTTTAGTTGCCTCGGCGGGATTCGAACCCACACATGGGCGCCGCCTACGCTTTTGTACAACGCACGCTCTTCTAGCTGAGCTACAAGGCCACACCGACAGAGAACTGATCATTTCACTTTCGAATCACCCATCCAACTTACTGAGGCGTATAACATCCACCAGTTAGCATGTAAGCCGACTACCCCGACACGATTTCCTTAGATTTCACCGGAGTCCACGGGATGAACTTTTAAGGCAAGACTAGTTGTTCAACTGGTCATTTGAAGCTCAGCCAAGTGATCTGTTTGGGGTACGTAGATTGTTTTTGTTTTCAACTCCGTTTTGCGTACGCACTTCCCATTCATGTTACACATACACACTCACACTGACATGTGTGTGTACGTGAACTTTCAACGGGAAACAAAACTTTGCTGTGTTACACTCTGATAACGGGACTGAATGAATAAATCAACCGATCGTGCACTTGGTCAGTCATTGAATCAATTAAGTTCTTTCACTGATCTTCTAAATAGGATGGATACCTGATTCATTGTCAACAATATGATAACCTCACTTTGTGATTGACCTGCTGTGTCATGTCTTTCATCTTCCGAACGCTTATACTCAGCCAGTTAGTCAATCAAGTTTTCCATTGTTGTTGTTGTTGTTGCTGTTATTTTTGGAAGGCTTTTGGAATCTGACAGATTCCGAAAGGAATGAAACTGCTATTCAATGTTCTCTGTCTACCGTTACGTACAAAATTCCATCGCAGTTACTATTCTGCTGGTTCACATTAGAATTAGGACCCAGAAACGTATTTCGCGAGGTTGGTTCTTTTTGATATTTAGTTGGTAATCGGCTTTGGTGCAGCTTGTATTTCCTTAGGAGATCGAGTGACAGAATTCGTCGATGCACATGACTGTTCGCGAGTCCAACATTCATTGTTTTCCGTCAAGTCTCATTCCATTCTGCAAGGTGTCCTTTGTTGAACACCTATCCTTTGTCATGCTCTCTTTTCATCCCCTGGTCTTCAACTAGCTTTTATATTCAGGATTTCCTGTTTCCTTCAAGCGGGTTTCGCACATTGTGGTCAGTTGCACCCCGATTTTTCAAATCCCTTTAAGGATCGATGTCGCAGTTCTGTTTTTTTTCTTCTATTTTTATCGCCATACTTGGTCGAAGTGTATCGCACCCTTGGAGGCTAGTAGCAGTCGTAACCGGAAGAAATTGAGGTATGCAACCGGGAGCCAGTACAAATGGGTGCAACGGGTCAAAGGTCAAGTGACAATGAGTTTGGATAGAGAAACAGATGAGAATATTGCGGAGAATGATATGCAGTCTTATCGTGAAGAGACCAGTGATAGTAGAACAGCATTAGGCAATATAAACATATTTGGGTATTCTCATTGTAGATAAACGAGCGATTGATAATCACTATGTAGCCAGGGTGTGGGTGTGTCAGGAGTATGCTAATCAATTTTTACATAAAATCCTGGTCTCAACTTCAGAAAAAATCCCGGAATGAAATCCCCGCTTAGTACCCCAATTTGGCGAATAGATCGTCCATGCCTTGTCGGTTACCCGTACTTGGTGTTTGCCTCATTCGACGTTGACACCCTTGCGTTGTTCAGTCAAACCAAGCAAATCACTCCTGGATTCACTCAACCGTTGGAAATCTCTTTCACATCACAGACAACCTATATAAGCTAAAACCAAATGGTGCGCCAAAATTAGTTCTTTAAGAAGTACGCACCGTATGAATTCAGTTGCGCGACACAGCGTTCGTCCATGAATCATAATCGTCGACCTGCTTATCAAACGTTTTGAGCCAATGCGATCGTACACAACAAAAATACACTGTCCTATCAATCACAGTGCCAAAAAGGTAGTACGTTGTCGCTCCGAAATCTATTCTGAACTTTCATTGCGGACTATCTAGCGACTCAGGCTGTTGCTGTAACAGCTCACATCACATAAATGGGAGAGCTAATGCAGCTTTCGCCAACAACAACCTGCAGCACCGTGATGAGATCGCTCAAGGGAAGATTGTACATCATCACAATCCGAAGTGTCTTAGTTTGCAATTGTGAGATGTGATCTGTTTGCACTACGGACGCTAATCGAATTTCTGTCTCGGACCACCGATATCTGGGATGCATTGCTCGTGTGTGGTGGAAGTGTCCAGTGGGCAATAATGGAGCTAATCGTTGTGTCAGGTGCTGATGTAAATTGCTGTGCATCGCCTGGGATGGTTTAGACAGGTTTCTCTTGCACCTGCCGATTGCCCATCCTTTGTTTGTTGGACAAGACCGGAGAAATGGACGCAGTGATCAGACCGTGTTTTGGTGTAAACATATGGACAAGTGTGCCTCGTTTTCTGCACCCCATCTTCCCGAATGAGTCTCGAGGCGTAAGGATTGCCGTTTATCAGAGACACTGGGAGAAATGACTCAGAACAGAAATCCCTGGGGCGAATGTTATATGATCTGTTTATTGAATTTCCGACTTTCGTACAATAAAAACAAAACGATAAAAAAGCACCGAAAAATGCGTGATGCAAACATCGTTATTCTTTCTGACCGTTTTTCTCATTTCCTTCCATTGGTGCTGAACTTTGCCCCTTTTTATTTCTGTTGATTTATTGAACTTTTCTCCGCGGATAAAATGTGGTACAAGTACTCAAATTGACAGGAATCAATCTCAGTGTAAATTATCAAAATCGGGCGCCGAATGGTCAATTGATCAAACGGATGGTACAAACGATTCTCGTTGCATTATGCCTTGTTTTTGACCCCTCCCTCGCGTATGTGTATCGTTGGGACTATAAGAAACGGAAAAAGCTGATGTACTCCTCCCTTCTCTGAATCTCACTCATTTCATCCGCTATCACTTTCTCAAATACAGTCCATGTTTTTGTTACTTAGACTTATTCATTGCTATACACACTTCTTGCATCGAGCAGTCATCCCTAGTTCTCTCTCTCTCTGTGTACAACAATCGTGGTATCGACATCTCAAATCGCTCTCTTTGTTCTCCTTCTATTCAGTCTAGTTGTTTAAGAAAAAAGTGGATCGGGCATTATAGTTCAGTTGCCACTTCTGCTGTGGTCACCGAAAATTCATTCTACCTCTTATCTCTCCCCACCCCCCTCGCCTTAGGGTGTTTGTGCTCTGAAGCCAGTGTTTGCATTGGATTACATTGACCTCATTCCATCGCGATTTTCAGTCTGAGTATTTGTGGATCAATGGTTTGCATTCCTTCCTGATCTGTCGTTGTGTTGCAGTAGCTCGGCCTGTGGTTCGCATTTGTCTACTCCAGTTCCGTTGGAATCTGTCCGTGTGCGCCAGTTTTGAACAAGAGTTTCTTTTAAATCACAAACCTCACCCCACCGATAGATCGATCTTATCTTGCCACAAAATGATTTATTATCGTAACTCATAACGGCACGCGTCCTGGCATGTGGGCGCTCTTGTTCACACACATCACTGGTAGGTATGCTGCATAGACAAACCATACACCTATCCGCTTTCGTGATGTATTTCTTATTGTTCAACACGAAGAATATAGTGGGAAACTTGCGGACAGGGACTTATTCAGTATTTACATTTAGTTTCTCGCAATCTGTGTGTGATATATCGGTTTGAGTGAGAATGATCCCACCTGGTGCGAATATCTCACCGACTGGTAATAGTACCACTCATTCAACCCTTGAGTTCTCACCTGTTTCAGGCATGAGCAATCACGATTCTACACTTAAATCGCAGTTACTAATAGACATAGTTATGAAATGAGTGAGGTGGATCTTGATTTGTTACCTGTCAGCTTCACACACACACACACACACACACACACACACACACACACA